CTACTACAACTACTACTGTTACACAAACATCTGCTATTATAACACCTGTTTCAACAAGTTTTAACATTGGTACAGGTTAGTATAGTATAATACATGTAGCGTACTATTATGTCATACTATAGTTATCACAGCAACATCACTGACTGTTGTTATTATATTACTGATAGTAAGTCTAGTAGTAGCAGTTTGTTTTGTTATCACATACAAAAGGAAGTTGAATAGTAAGCAATGCCAACTGTTTCTATAATTATTAATTGTTGATTACAGGACTTGCCTCATCACAACAACAACAAGAGGTACCTACTGCACGTAATGAAGCATATGAATTCAACACTTTAATGATTACTACTAATCCTAATCCTACTTATGAAGAAATAAAAGGAAACAAAGGAGGAGCAGTTAACATGTGAACCATTTGTAATTTTTGTATAATGATTGTTTGAAAACACATTTTAGTGACTATACTATGAATAATAATATTGTGTGTATAATCATTATTAGCTTTGGTATTTGTAATGCCATGGATGGTATTTGTCAGATACACATAGCACTCAAACTGGGCTGATTTTGAAATCAATTATTATTTGAAAAGCCATGAGCAATAGTTTATGGCTTCTCCAAATTTTTAAACACTCAAAACTCTAGAATTTGTGCTCAAACTTTCTACACAGCATAAGGATACATGAATATGCATCAGAAAATGTAATAAAAATTTGGGGTAATTTTAGAGCTGATTTTTGAAAACTATAGACTAATTCTATAAACAAGTACATGTAAGCATTAATCTATTTTATGATTATTATTATTATTATTAATATAAATATAATATAAAGGAAACATAAAATAAGGCAAAATCTGAATAATGGTTAAGATTATTCAATTAATATTGCTATAAAAATTTCACATATATTTAATTACAAATTTTCTCCACTTGGATTACTGTCAGTAGACTAAAATTATATGAATTTTATAATTAACTACAAATTTAACTTACTTCAAACAAGAGCAAAGATTTTTCCGGTAGTGTAGAGCGTCTGGGTTTCATAAGACCAACATAATTCATGGTAGTTTCAGTTTCAATCAATTTAAGATTAATAGCGTTATCTATGCCAGTTACCATCTTAATATCTGTAGGTGTCCTTGCTTGTATTTCATCAATAACAGCATCATCATGAACATGAGATAAACTCTTTGCATCAACAGTAACTTCTTGTGCTGTAGTACCTACATCATCATAAGACACCACTGGAGGTTTAGGCCTTACACCTCCAGATACAGCATGTAACATCATGTCATAATCATCTTCAATAAGAGTTATCTAATGACAGGAAATAATACAACCCATGCTGTGACAAAACTTACTTCAGTTCCTGGGATAGATTCATATATAGTAGTGCTATTA